GCATCCTACTTAGATGAGGCTGCCAGTTCGGCCATCTATTCTTCAACGTTGTCTTTCGCTCCGCAGTGCTTGCCAGAATGATTCTGTCTCCCAATCCGCACGATGAGGGAATGAACTCTTTTCCACGCCCAATAGGGGGAGGGGGGGGGGGAGGAAATCTTTGCGATTGCTGCTGAAATGTATGTATACTGTCATATAACAATAAATAAAATGATCAGAATCGGGATGGGAAGGGGGAAAAAATGGTACCCAGGATTCATTTTCGGTTGAATAAGAGATAAATAATAGCCATGAATCACCTCCTGCGTTAGACAGTTGCAACTAAGATGTGTGAACCTTGGACATTATCCATCCATGGGGTTTCATCTAGAATTGCAATTGCGACGGGTTTGACGCCTATAGGATCCCCACACACACCACACGGGCAAGCCGCACTCGCAACAAGGACACCAGATGAAGGAGAAGACAAGGGCGGCCATGTTTTGTTTGCCCTTCCCGAGACCAGGGTCACTTCGTGAGCGAGCAAACTGGAGGCGCATGGCTGGCTGGGGGTTGAAAAGGGGGGGGGAGGGGGGGGTGTTTGGGGCAAGGTTATCGATAAGAACAAACTTTCCCTCCCCTTTCGATAGACAACGGCGGCGGATATTCCACGAGACAAACAAAGGAGATGTCCTCGTTGCTGTCTCTGGCTGTCTGGATTAATTGTTTATGTTGACGGGCAGTCCATCCATCAGTTCTAGCTTTGTAGATGGTCCGTCCCGCATGGGATCATCGCTATCGGCTGGGCTGGGCTGGGATTGATGGCGCCCGTTATTATTTTTATTTTTATTTTTGCTCGCGTCTCCTGACTTGACAGGGGGTTGGCGCAGGAGGATGCTCCCATATCCACAACAACAAACAGCTCCATGGCGATGATATCGCTGATCGATATTAATATCTCCTCGCTGGTCTTGCTGCCGTCATCAGCTCCGAGACAGCCAGAAATACAACGAATTTTCAAGTTAGCCAAAGCCTGGCAGGATGTCAGTCAGTCAGTAATATTGCAGCGTACATAATATAGCAACCATCATCACCATCATCATCACCGTCATCGTAATAAATAATAGCACATCAGATAAATAGATAAAGGGGGGGGGGGGGGGCATCCGCGTTGACGACGTGATTGATTTGGCCTTGTTTTTTGTTTTTTTTGTTCGACTTCGACCTGCCCCCCGCCCTCCCCTCCCTTCTTCCCGGTTTATTTATCGATTTCGTTTGTATCAGCCATTTTGTTTATGTAGTCGCTGCCGTCCTGCGTGTCTGTCGCCGCCGCCGTGGGCTATGTTGTTTACCTCTTCGCTGCGTGATTTCGAGGCTGACGGCTGCATTTTGCAAGTATTCCCCCAGGGCGTGTTTCAAAGAACAAAGAAATAAAAAACTTAGAGAAGAGAGAAGAGCAGCAGCCGAGACGAAACGAAGCAGAAGGCAAGCAAGCGTCCAGAGGGCGGGACTGTTCGAGTTGTTTATATGTCTACGGATAGTTAGCTACTCGTAGTCGTCGTCCTGCTTGTGGTTCTTTTTTTCCCAACTCGTCTTGCCGCCTCACTCTTCTTGTCTCTCGCTCTGCGGGCTGGTCTGCTCGCCCTCGCCTCACCCACTCTTCCTTGCGATCTGTCCATCCTGTTAGGCACGGACACCTGTCTGCTGTCTGCTGTCTGCTGGCTGCCTCTCTGCTGGCTGCCTCTCTGCTGGCTGCCCCTCTGCTGGCTGCCTCGCACGCCTAGTTAGTCCCTCCGAACCCCGGCATCATGGTCTCGTTCCAATGCGAGGTGAGTTGGCTTTTTCTCGTCGGCTTCTTCCTTTCTTTCTTTTTGCGTTTTACTGCTTACTCTCGGGTTCCAATTCTAAATTCTACCTCTGGTTTGGTGGTTTGTTCATCTTATTCCCAAGCTCGGGGTGGAGTTGGGATGATGCCCAATTTATGCCTGCCGATGCCTGAACCACGGACTGTTGTTGACTTTTTTTCCCTCTCTCTCTCTCTCTCTCTCTCTCTCTCTATATAGGCGTGCGGCGATGTCTTCACAAAGAAGAAGACCGATTCCCACCGTAATCAGTGTCGCGGCGCCCGTTTCTCCTGTCTAGATTGCTCGGTCGAATTCCCTGGAACCTCCTATAGAGCCCATACGGTACGGTTATTCTTTTCTCTCTTCTATCATATTTCTTTGCCCCGGAAGGGTCTATTTTCCCATGTTATTTTACTGTCACAATATCCTCCTGCTCCCAACACCCTGCCTGAATCCTGCCATGAGTACCCGTATCAACCTCATCAATCATACGCGTCTGGCACTTGATTCTGTTGTTATTGGGGCGGTTGTCGTGTTTGTGTGCGCGTGTGTGTGCGTGCTGCCCTGCATTGTGATGGTGTGCGCGCCAGCCAACCCAGCGGCGATGCGACGGATCGATGATTCGCCTAGCTGATAGGCAGGAATATCTCGCCATGTTCCCCCTATTCTCTCACACTTGCGTTGATTTGGCAGATGGCTTCTCTGGTTGCAAGGGTTGCGGATGGCACCTGTCCATGCCATTGGGCGGCCATCGGCGAAAACCATCATATCGTGTCTTCCCATTCGTACAGTTACACCCTAACTCTCCCTCAATGCACTTGTGATCACGACCACCATGGGAATTACATGATCCAACTAACATGTTCCGTTTTGGCTTTGTGTTGTTATAGTCATGCATATCAGAAGCCCAAAAGTACCAGGGTGCCCTCTACAAGGAGAAGCCAAACAAGCCCAAGAAATCCAAGTCCGTGACAATAGCCGAACCCCCGACTTCCTCCAAACCTACTAGGCCCCCTGACCCTTGGGTTGAAGATACTTCAGATGTTGACGATACCAGATCTGCCTCCCATAATTATTCTGCCCCTCCGTCCGCTCCAAGCCCCCCCCAGACCACGCCTCAACAGGAACCCGGAAACGCTTCAACCCTTACCACTACGACCCAGCCTAATGCTCGTGTGAATGTGTTTGATTTTCTTGATACAACAGCAACCCCCAATGCATCGAAAGTTTCCCTGGGGGGATCCAATGCGCCAATGGTTATGCTGAAAAATGCACCCCCGCTTTTCAATGCGCCTAAGGAGCTTGCAAAACTTGACAATGGGAGGGACGATGAGGTAATTTACGATGTGGCATTTGAGGAAAACGGCTTCTCCTATGGCGCGGACACCCTAGAGGCACCACTATACCAAAACGGAGGTGCAAATGGATCTACGGCTTCTTTCAACAGTTTCATGACCCCAGCTCCAAAGCGGAATAAGGACCGGACGTCCCGCCGGGATCGGGATCGGGATCGGGATCGAGACTGGGACCGCGCCACTTCCCCGGACCAGTTCCACACTCCTCATAACAATCTGACTAGCACAGGTGACAAGAAGCGGAAGCGTGGCCACGTTGAAGACATTGATGCCCAGATGGCCAACTCGACCTCACATGGCGGTGGCGACGTCCCAATGATCGACGCCCCGCCTTCAAGTTCCATTGCTAACCCATCTACCCCAGCACTGAGCCACTCAGGGCTCACCGGTGGCCTTAATCGCATGATGAGAGACATTTCCCCACCTACTCCAGACGCGGCCTATTGCAGCGCCGACGAAGGAGGAGATGATGGGCGCTACCAATTCCAAGACCCAGCATCGCCTATCAAACGCACCCGCAGGGCAGATAGCGACTCTAACCATAACGGCAGCGGCAATAACAATAACAATAACAGCAACGATAAGAACAGCAATGACTCCGTGAACGAGAACGACACCGCGCTCGCGCTCGCGATCAAGGATCGCGCAGACCACATCATGTCCCTACTCGCCCGCAACGGCAACGTCTTTCCCAAACCCAAACCCAAACAGTACAGCTCCTACTCTCTCTCCATTGAGGCGGGTAAGGATGGCAAGCGCCATAGCCTCGCTGAAGCCGTCATCCCCCCCGCCGTGGCTGCTGCGGAGGCGCGGCTGGAGAAGAAGAGACAGCGTGCTGTGCTGGCGCAGCCGGAGCGACGGGTGGGGACGAAGAAGAGGGTGGTGGGCGATGCGGGTGGTAAGGGTTCCAGCGCTGGTGCTGGTGCGGCTACGCGTACGCGCACACGCGCGGGTTCTGGCGCTGGCGCTGGTTCCGGTCGTAGTGGGAAGGATAATAATACCGCCGCCTCACGCCGGCTGAAGGCCATCGAGTATCATCCGGACGACGCGGGTGGGAACGTCGCGGAGAATCATGTTAACCATGATAATCAACTCGTCGTTTACGGTGGTGGGAGTAGTAACGGGGCCAGTGACTGTTATAAACGGAGTGAGGAGGACGAGCTCATGGTTCGCGAGCGGGCGGGTATGTTTTTATCACTTGTGACGAAGGGGCCGGAGTCTGGAAGGGGTTTGTCGGTTCATAAGGCGCTGAAGCGGTTTCATCGGGAGGACGGGCTGGGGGGGATTTTGGAGGGGGGCCGTGATCGGGAAAGGGAGAGGGAGAGGGAAAGAGAAAGAGAAAGGGATGGGGGCCGGGAGAGGGGGACGGAGAAGGGGAGAGGGCGCGGACGGAATAAGGAGGGGAGGGAGAGTAGAGAGCGCGAAAGGGAGCGGGGGAGGGAACGGAGGATCGAGATGGAAAGGGAGCTGTGGCGGGTATTGAGACTGAAGAGGAATGACCGGGGGGAGATTGTTGTGTTTGTCTAGCTGTGTGGAAGGGTGTGTGGTGTGTGGTGTGGATATGTGTATGGATGTGAGGACTTTCTGGATGTGATAGATGCCATTGTGCTTTTTCTTTTCGTTTCTCTTTTTGTTTTCCTCCTTTTCTTTTGGTCTATTGTGTTGGATTTATGCATCTGTCTCTCATCTCATCTCATCTCATCTCATCTCGTCTCAGCATCATCATCTCATTTTCTATCTCCGCATTCTGTTTTCAAGTCTCACGATTCCCCCTTCAGTTTGCGCACATTTTTACACATCTTTTTGCTTCTAATAATCTATTTATTTATTTACTTATTGTGCAATGTTTTCCTTTTTTCTTTTTCATTTCAGTTTCGGGACTTCAAATACGTTGCTGGCTCTCAGACGACCAGATTTAGGAACCAGATTCAGGAGCTAATGAAAAGGGGTGTTTTGTTATGTAGAACTGTTGATCAAGAGGCCAAATGTTCATGTATACTATGTATTCCACAAGTAGTTTTTTCGCTTATATATATATATATATATATATATACATATATACTGCGTATATATACATGTGTAAGCGTATCGCATTATCGTCTGGCACGATGCGCAAACTCGATATGTATTAGCACAGAGGTGCTAACAGGGGATGGATTGATAAGACGATCTAGGAGAGACACTTTCTCCTACCTGCTCAATCAAATCCGCTCCCTGTTTCCAACATTCATTGTGTCAACACTCATCACCGGTCAGTCCTGGTTCACACTTCCATTCGCACCCTCAATTTACAATCCCAATTTTCATTCGATCCCGCATCCTCAACCTCCAACGGCACCATTCTCGGATACACCGAGTTGGCCCTTCTCCTCCTTCTCAACCTCCTCTTCCCAATCGTCAACAACATCCTCCGCAAACCCTGCAGGAAACGGCTTCCAACCACCCTCACTCCTACTTTCACTTCCAGAACCAGCCGCACCTGCTTTCCCCTTCACCTTCCCTCCAAGCCCAACCCCACTCCTCAACACCAAAGTCCGCCCCTTGTCGCCACCACCAACCTCTCCAAACACAAACGCAGCCTCTGGCGGCGCTGCCGTCGGCCGTTTCCTCGACGCAACTTGCGCCCAACCATTGCCTGAGCCCGCGCCAACCGCGGCAGAATCCCCATCCCCACCACTGTCAAGGACCCCCCGACTCCTTTCTGCAGCCGCAGCCGCAGCCGCCTTCCTTGCCTCTCTAGAACGCGTCCTTTCCCTTTCGCGCATCTTCACGCATTCGCCAACACTCAGCCCGCCAATCCCGATCCCAACCTGCGCCACTGTCCCGCCTGCCACCTCAGCGCCAAGGCCGCGCGGCGGCACCCAGTGCGCGCCCTTGAAGACAGCGACATGCCGGTGTGGTTCTGGGTCGTAGGATTCGGATATGAACCCCCAGTCTGCGGCTAGAGAATGGATGAAGGCGCGGAGTTGTGAGCGGGCGGGCGGGAAGCGGGCACTGCGCTTTGTTTGGCTTGTGGCGAGGGTGTAGAAGGTTGTTTCGTAGGTTTGTAGGGTGGAGAGCGTGGAGGTTGTGGAGAGCGTGAGGTACAGGTCGAGGGTTTCAGGGGAGTAGGGGAGGGTGGCTGTCGCCAAGGAGTCTCCGTCAGTTGTTGCCGAGGTTGTGAATGGGTCGATGGAGATGTTTAAGGCGGACGCGAGGGAACGGTTGCGTTGGAGACGCGCGCATTCGTCGTCGCATTTTAAGGCACTGGGGGCTTGACTTTGGGTTTGTTGGAGACGGTTTCTGTTGTCTCGGTAAGCGTTGCAGCGCTTTTCTTGTTTTAAACGGCCGCAGGGGCATGTTATTGTGATGAGGGATTGGCACGGGGTTTTCTCCTGGCAGGGAAATGGAGCATGGCAGGGATCAGAACACGGGTGCGAGCAGAGTTTCTTGATCTTTCCACAAGGCTGCTGGCACGGTTGGGCCAAGTCTTCGCACTCTCCCGGCCGATGGCAGAGGTTTTTGCATGTGTGGGAGCCGCATTTGAGCTCCTTGTTGCATACAAGGCCGCATCGCGGATCTGCCAGCCAACAGGGTTGATTCTTCAACGTCTTTGTTGCACACAGGCAGCGCTTTTCCGTTAGAAACGGGCATTTGGGACAGCTTTCGTCATCAGTGTGACAATTGTGCGATGTCTGTGGATGTCCACATGATTTCGGCCTCGCGCAATCGTAATGGCAGAGTGGTGGCTGTGTACCGCATGGCAACGGCGGGTAAAGCACTGATCGGCCACAGTTGCAGGGTATTTCCTCGAATATAGCTTCTCGACACGTACCACAGCTTCCCTTATGGCAGAGTTCCTGGCACATATGTTTTGAACATTTGAGCAACCTCCCACACACTCGTGTGCAGATATGCTCCGCTTCGATATCATGGTCATTAGGGCGATTGGCAACATTGAGGGACTTTAGCTTTCGCTTCGTCGCTTGTCGTTCAATTGCCTTGCGCTCACCGGGGCAGCAATGCTCACCGCAAGTGTGCCTCCCACAGTTCATCGTGGCTTTACACACCCGGAAACAATGAGGTGGTTCACTTGCCCCTTGATTGCATATTGATTGGAACACACCCTTTCCACATCTGCAGGTTATGGATACCTTCAAGAAACAAGGCGGGCAGGGACCAGCGTGGCAGAGAATGGGGCATTCATGCTGGCATGGAAGAAGCCTCCCACATGGTTCTTTGCAGTTTGGGATTGGATCTTGACACGATGTTCGAGCCACGTAACCTGGAATATCTGATAAAGGTGTTTTCCCACAAGAACAATGGGTTATAACATCGGGAGAACTAGGACAATGTGGCACAGCCGCATCCTGTGGATGGCACCGTTTCCGGCATGTATGTATTCCACAGTCGTAGGCGCGATCGCATATTTCTCTGCAATCGAAACAGCCTACCCATTCCTCTACTGTTTCTTCGGACGTGCCCTTGCCATGGGTAAGACAACTGTGCTTTTCCTCCTCCCGATTACTACACATCATTTTCGTCTGAGACTTTCCACAGTAACATTTTGCCTCAATTGTCTCCTCACAGGCGCCGCAAAGACCTTCATGACAAGGACGAGCACACTTATGTTCGAGACAGGGCAATAGCTCGCCGCATGGCTCCCGGCAACTCCACCCATTCTCGTAGTCGGTGTCAACACATCTCTTTGTCGACTCATGGCATCCACAAAAACAAAACTGCGTTGGGCCCATGGCCGTGCAGGGCGGACAAGGGCCTGCATGACATACAGAATCGCAGGGATGGGGGCACCCTTTCCTGGCCTTGGAGCAGGTTTGCCCGCAGGAATGGGGCGGCAATCCAGGCAAGGGTCGCGGATCCGTCTCCTTCTCACACCAACAGCTATACGTCGATGGCAAAATGTCGTGGGGTAAGTTGCATCCCGGACAGCGCCATTGTCGCGGGTGGCCATGGCCATCCTGGCCTTGCTGTTGTCTTGGCCTTGCCATTACCGAACCCTCGTTATTCGACCATTTCTTTATGCAGCTGAGATGGAAAACAGTCCAGCATAACGAGCAGGACCACACTTTCGTCTTCCGACCAAGTTCGCTTGTGCATATGGGGCATTCGTAGACACCGTTGGTGATATCCTCATGTGTGCGAGTGGCAATGTCGATCGCTGTAGATTTCGCTTTTGGAGGCTTTGGTTGTCTCGTTCTTTCCCGGTTCCGCGTAGGGGTATGAGTCGACGTCGTTGTAGGTGTAGGTGTAGTTGTAGCTACGTGAACTCCAGGTATAAATTCTGGAGCATTAGGTCGTAGTGTGGCCTGCTCCCCTTGCACGAGTGATCTATCACTTCCACCATCGTCAGCTGTCTGTGGTTCTTCCCGTGTCAACCGTCCGCCGAATAATCTTCCCATTCCGGCAACGGTCCTCGTTGTGTTGGACGCGTCACTTCGCAGTCTCCCTCTTCCTCTCCCGGATATTGCGCCTGTTCTTGCTCCCGGTCCCCCGCGACCCGGGTCACCACCCCGTCTCCCGCTTCCGTAAAACAATGTCCGATTGCGAGATGTATTCACATTTCCGCCGCTCCCACTGTTTCCTCCTCTGCCTCGACGTCCTGTTCGCCTGGAACCGGTATCATTTGGACTTATCCTCTCATCATGAGCGGGAGCTTGATCTAGAGATGGAGTCTGCGCAGTTGAAGACTGTGATTGAAGTGTAGTGGCTGTCATCGCTGGTAGCTGGCCGGCGCGTACAGGCGCGGGGTAGTTGCCCTCCTCGAGAGGATTCACCACTTCCGTCCGGGTTCAGGTACAGCAGAAGGAATTGAGAAAGATAAAAAAAAAATATCAACGGGAATTTAGCTTCAGTTGTTTGTCGAATGAAAGCCAGAAGGGAAAATCGAGTTTATTCTTGTCTAGAGTAGTCCTCAGTTATATAGTTGACAGAAAAGAGTGGGAGAAATAAAATGAAAAGGAGTCTTTTAAGTAAACAAAAAAAAAAAAAAGCAAGCCTTAGGAACTTGATAAAACAAACGCTAGGAATTACAGAAGTTGAGTGTAGCAAGTGTCTTTTGAATCACTTCAAGCTGCAGCTCAGTATCTTGTCGAAAAAGTATGAGTTTGTAGAGATGGGGCAAAACTGGATTAGTAATCCCTGGCCATGACGTCGGGGAGGGAGCTGAGTCATCTAGTTTGGCTGTTTCATGAAACGCTTCAATCTTGTATAAGACCAATATCCAAAGAATTACCCTAACCACAAATCATCTTACATGAATTTGTGCGGCTACAAATTTATTTCATTGATCTTGCACTTGCCAAAAGCCCCCTCAAGCCTGCTACTGGTTTTATCTTCTGCCATCAAAAGCTTCTCCAAGCCCAGACACCATGACTAGCAGATATACAGTGTACATCACTCCACCAGTCACTGCAATAGTGCTATAATATAGTTTGGTTTGTTGTTCTTATTTGACTGTTCAAGTTTTCAGCAAATGCCTAGTCACAACATAACACACCGCCAAATAAGTATATAGACAACAGATATCACATTTGTGCTTTTCGCAGCAGGCTCTTCTGGTAGCCAATTGAGTATGGATAGGTCCTGTTACCGACAAGAATATATTTGCTACACCGCACGAAACCAGGATTTCTCTTTTCTTGTGACTGGGCTATGTGAAAGAGCTTTCTGGGGAGGAACACCTAATGAAATGATTTTCAGTGATTCTGTTGCTTGAATTGTATTTCGATTTGCCAGACTCATCTCTTCTTCACTTTCAATTGTGCCAAGGTAGCGGAGGCATATATGTGCTGCTGTGTGCTAGTCTGCAACATGCAGCCTAGAGCCTGTGATGACACCCACTTCAACAATAATAGTTTTTTCTTTCCTTTCCGATATCATGGAAGATTCTGGAGGGAGAAGTAGCACTTTTCGAAACCTCTACTCAGGACACCATAACTCGCCCCATGTGGGCCTTTTTTTCGTTTGGACCCAACTCAGGACTACAGAGGTACTTTCTCGAATCCTGCATCAGTTGAACGTCCATCCAGTGCATGGTAAAGTCAATTTCGGCCAGGAAACCTTCGGTGCGGTTTAAAGCCACTTCATTGGACTCCGTACCGTACAGTTGAGGCTATATATACCAAACCAAACAGAAGGCTAACTATGTTAAGGTTGACGTTTCTAATGGATGAACTAACTGGTTGATACTATCCAAAATATGGCACTCGACGCCATCGCTGATATGACATTCACCCAAGGGCCTTATCATTGTAAGAGGACGATGTTTTCACGGAGAATTACAGTAATACAATGTCATTTGGAAAGTGTCTACAATCATTTTCAAGGAATTGAATACAGATGAATGGACTAGACACGACGGATGGTAAATCCTCAGTTGCTGCACGATTATAATATTCCCCAGTTTTCATGTAACCATTGAATCATAGAAATCAATTGCTGCTCGAAGCTGATCCTTTGGAGCAGGTTACCATCTTTGACTCATTGGGCCTTCAGGAGGTCTATCCCGGTTTTCGTCTATCCCGGTTTTCTTGTTTGGTGCCCTAAAATTATAGTGTGGAACTAACCAAAATACTGGGTCCGCTCATGCACAGAGTCCCGTTTTGACTATCTACTTTTCCATACAGAATTCCTCCTTTTGTTATAGACATGTGGATGTTACATATACGCTTGATATGGTATGTATATTTCCAACTTCTGCGCTTCAAAATGATATCTCTATATCATTATCAAACACAATCTGATCCCCAATATCTCCAGTTGGTTAGCATGTCACCTGTGTGATTAGCTAGTGTGCCATTAACCAAAACACGGCACTTAGGGCGGGAATCGGCAGTCAAAACATGGTTCATCCAAATGTGAAAATGCCCACAACTTCGAACTAAGACCAATCACTCCACATTTTAGGCTGAATCAAATGCGATTTGTAACTAATCTAATCTGTAGTTGCTACCTAGGTAAATAGGTGCGATCACGTGGTATTAAAGAGACCTCGGGAGCATTAGGGATGCCAACACCATGAACTCATCTCGTCCAGTTCTCCAGCACCCGGCGAACACAGCGTTCATTAAACCAGCATAAGATAACCCACCACGAAAATACTAGTAGTACAATTTCTCGAGCAGAAAGGATGGGGACAACGGCCCGTTGATGTCTCTGGGGGAGGATTGAGCCAGATTTAAGGAGGATCTAGGCAGGATGTTCAACCATTCCCTTGTCGTCGTCGTCTCGGCGGCATCGATGATGCTGCTCATTGCGGTTTCTCTCCACTCGTCCCTTACGACATTCTGGGGGAGATTGGACGTGCAGCTGAGCAGCGATGCTTCTCCTCCTGGAAATGGCCGTCATGGTCAGTTGGGTGCTGTTGCGTCTGAGAATCGAAACTGTAGCCAGATGGGGGCGGAGATGATGAAGATGGGTGGAACCGCGGCGGATGCTGTGAGTATTTTGGTTTTTTATCTTTCGCTTTCCTCTCCTATTGTGCATTTCTGTGGTGTAATTTACCCTGTTGTCCTTGTCGTCACATCATTTCGTATCATAGATATGATATGTTACCCTTTGCAGCACTGTTGGCGGGTTCCGTAGTGAGGCTGCCTGGCTTCCTGCTTTGATATGCTCAGGACATGAACTCATTCGATCTACCACAGATGGTTGCAACTGTATTCTGCATTGGCGTGATTGGTAGGTTTTTTTTTTTTTTTTTTTTTTTTTTTTTTTTAATTTTCTTTTCTTTTCTTTCCCTTTTAACTGTTCATTTGAAAACACCCAACCCGGGCTCCTTGGCGTGTAGAAATGGGCTCCTGCTAAGCGCGTCATTTGTTATTCCAGCAATGTATCATAGCGGTATCTCTGGTGGTGGATTCGCAATTGTACGAACGCCAGGAGGCGAGTACGAGGTCGTCGATTTCAGAGAAATGGCTCCTGCAGCAGCGCATAAGGATATGTATAAGGGTAACGTGGAAGGGGCGGTTTTAGGGGGTTTGGCTAGGTAAATACTAATCTGCTTTCTATACCCTCTCGAGATTTAAATTGTTACTAACTAACCACACACGGCGGCAGCGCTGTCCCTGGTGAGATTAGAGGGCTGCAATACCTGCATGAGAAATATGGTACTTTGCCCTGGTCAACAGTTATGAAACCGGCCATTCGTCTTGCACGGGAAGGGTGGCCCGTCAATGTGGACCTGGTCAATTACATGGAGACCGCAACAGCAGGAAAAGAGGATTTTTTATCCAAAGATCCTTCGTGGGCGGTTGACTTTGCCCCCAATGGAACGCGGTTGGGCCTGGGGGATACTATCACTCGTACAAGATATTCTCAAACACTCGAGACAATCGCCAATTACGGGCCCGATGCTTTTTATTCTGGGCCGCTTGCGGATTCCATGATCCGAGCCCTCCAGGCACATAATGGGACTATGACTCTAGACGATTTGAAGAACTATAGCGTTGTGATTCGAAACGCTTCACATATCAATTATCGGGGTTACACTGTGACCAGCACGAGGGCCCCGTCCAGTGGTGTCGTTGCATTGAGTATCTTGAACATTGTCGGTCAATATGATGATTTCTTTGTCAAGGGAAATGTGAACCTGAGCACCCATCATCTTGTCGAGGCAATGAGATTTGCCTATGGACAGGTAGACCCCCACCTCTTCTCTTAGTTTTGCGTGACAGAGTTCATATTTCTGAATGCTGACCTATGTTTCTTCCGGTCCTTCTTCTCTTCCCCGTAGCGGACGCATCTGGCTGACCCATCCTATTCGGAGGGAATGGATGAATATGAAGATCATATGCTAAATAGTTCCATGGCTGCTATTATCCGAAACAAAATCTCTGATTCGCATACTCTCAATGTCTCTGATTATAACCCCAATGGATTTGAAAGCCTAGAAACGTTTGTGCCAGCCCCAAACCCCTAACTCCCCAACTCAAATCTGTGAAACTTCGGTGGAGACGATGGACAAAACAAACAATTAGACCCATTGTGCATTCAGCGCTTCAAATATCGAAAAGCTGACATCCACACTCACTCACGCACAGTCCGGGAACTTCTCACGTCGTCGCCGCCGACTCCAGAGGCCTCACCATCAGCCTCACCACAACCATAAACCTCCTCTTCGGAAGCAAAGTCATGGTTCCCGAAACCGGCATTATCATGAACAACGACATGGATGACTTTTCCATCCCCAACACCAACAACTCATTCGGCTACATCCCCTCACCTGCCAACTTCATCGAACCGGGCAAGCGCATGCTCTCTTCCATATGCCCGGTGATCGTCACCCATCCCAACGGCACGGTCTATTTCATCACGGGTGCCGCGGGTGGGTCGCGTATCATTACTGGCACCGTGCAGAGTGTCATCAATCTCCTTGACAGGAATATGACCACCTATGACGCGCTTAAGGAACCCCGTGTCCATGACCAACTTAGCCCGAATGTGTCAGAGTTTGAGTATTCGTTTGATAACAGCACGGTGGCGTTTATGATCAGTAGGAATCATTCGGTCAAATGGGTTCTTCCGGGGGCCAGCAAGGTGCAAGCTATCCGGCTGATGGCGGATGGCATGTATGAAGCGGTTGGGGAGCCTAGACAGGTTGATTCGGGAGGAGCTGTTGCGTGAGTGCGATGTGCGTTAGGTGTATTGGTTTTTTTTTTTTTTTTTTTGCTTGTTATTTCGTTTTACTTGATTTTTGTTTTAATTTTTGCGATCTCTCCGAATAATCTTTTTAGACGGTCATAGAGCCATGGTATGCACCCTTGTATATAAGTTATCGAGGCGAGCCAAGTGTACATTAGGCTAACGAAATGTGCTGTACATAAATAAACCCCTTTTATCGTTCGATATGTTGGTTACTCCTTTCCCTTATCAAATGGGTGTGTCGTAAAGGAGCCCCACTCTACCCGCCAGAAAATTCAGCGTAGCAAGGATACATCGGCATAGTCAGTGCTTGGCAGATCGGGAAGGGGGAAAAGATGTTTACCCATCCTTCATCACAATTCTACTGCTCTTGGGGAGCAGCAAGAGGGAACAGGTTCTTGTCCTTTTTTGCGCAGAAATTGTTTCCTTATGTGGCAACATTTTCTGCAGTTGTTCCATGCTGCGTTATTCAATGCTGGGGCGCAGAAGTTCTCCCACGTCACGGAGGCAGTTGTTGATCTCGCCAGATCCCAGCGATCTTGTGATGGAAAACACTAATGCGCATTGCAGGTCCATTTACGGAGTATCAATATTATAATATTTTGTCTCTCTGGTATCAGATCTATATGAAACTACGGAGTAACTGGGGACGATGTTGCAGCTGGAACGTCAGCCACTGTGGCACGGTTCGCAGGCCTTTCAGAATTAGGTTTAGAGTTCTCTCACTCTAAAACTTTAGACTTTCCCGCGGCGCTTATGCCTGCAAAGGGAAGGAGGCCCTGGTTTGTGGGAGCGTTAGTTCTACGGGTTCCATGTTTTCTGAGCTTTGGTGCAACGCAGCCGAACAAAACGGAGCACTGGTTGAATCTGGAACTTTATGCTGGCCACGTGATATGGGCCCCAAATCCAGTACCTTTGAGCCAGAAAGTACGTGGTAAGGTTAAATCCGGACAGACAGACAGACAACCTTGGAATCTCTGAGGAACGATATATGGCCAAGCAGCCTAAGAAGTCCCCGTACTTCCCCCAGAAGCGTCGAAATGCCGCCTCTTGTCTCCCATTCCCACCAATATCAGCCCGATCCTTTGGCTTGATCCAAGAGAAGCTCGCTCACGACCCCTTCCGACTGTTGATCGCAACAATCTTCCTTAATCGAACTCGCGGCGAGGTTGCGATACCGGTTCTATACAGCGTTTTTGAGAGATATCCGACGGTTGCGGCCCTAGCAGAAGCGCAGGAAGAGGATGTTGTCGGGATGATCCACTGTCTGGGTTTCCAGAATGCCCGTGCCCGCAAATGTATTGCCCTCGCAAAGCTCTGGGTTGAAGATCCCCCCGTCAAAGGAAAAAGGTACAGGAAGCTCCATTATCCCAACAAAGGCGATGGGCGTGATATCAAACCTGGAGAATGCGTGGGTGATGATGACACCCGAGTCGCCTGGGAGATTGCTCATCTCCCCGGTCTGGGTTCGTATGCCCTTGATAGCTGGAGGATATTTTGTCGTGATGAGCTGAGGGGCCTGGCGAGGGACTGGGAGGGCGCAGAGGCGCCTGATGGATTCGTGCCTGAATGGAAATCAGTGGTTCCCAAGGATAAGGAGCTCCGCGGATTCTTGACCTGGATGTGGCTCAAGGAGGGTTGGGAATGGGAAACGGAGACGGGGCGCAGAAGACGGGCGAGCAAGAAGCTTCGCCGTGCTGCTATGCAGGGAAGCATTGCCATTGAAACAAACGGCAGTTGGATTCTTGAATCTTCGATGGCGGAAACATCAATTTATTTTGAAAAGACTATTCAGGATAAATGATCTCGTCGATAAATTTTTAATTTTTTTTATTTTTAATTTTTGGTATATGAAGAAAAGATATCTATATTTTTGGATTTACCACCAATCAATCTCTGGAAAGATTAGTATTGATATTTTCTCATTCCTTTTCTGGGTCATTTGGCTACCTGTAACTAGAACACAAAGATCAATGTCTCAGCGCTGCCTCAACAACTGTACAGGTAAATTAACCGTGTTGGTGTGGTGATGGAGTGATGTGGTGACCGAATCCGGTAATCAGCACCACTTCATCGATCGATAATCGCGGTTCCAAGAGATCAGCATCTACAACACCCCGAGACACGTTTCTTGCAGGCTCCCGAATGGCCCTGCATCCATTCTTGCTGCAGAATCAAGCCGATTGAACCACTCTTTGGGCCATCTCTCGGTCTTCCGTGCAGTCTTTCGTACAACGCCCACATCGTCTCCGGCTCGTCGTCTGTTGCCTGCGTGTATCGGCCATTCAGGTGTTGAGCAATTCACGCTTTGTTCTGCAGCTTGATTCGCTTCTCTCGAAACGGGAGCAAGAATTTGAAGTCAGCGTCTGGACGTTTCATCGACCCACCAACCAAACGCACCGCCTCCGTCATCCACCACATCCTTGTCCCTCACGTTAAACCAATGGGGTCTGAATAGAAGCCACACGCAACAAGCATATGGGGTTTTGATGTCGAACGGGCCGGTCTCTTACTGGCTGGCATCAGGCTATCAACAATAAGCTGTGGATTACACGCCACAACCGACGAACGAACTTTCGCCGGAGGACTCCCTTGTCGTTCCCGGCGTGCGTCATGCCTGTGAAGGACGAGGACCGGGATCGCCAACGCAGGAGTCGGAGAGAAAAAGACAGGGAACAACGTCGCCCTCGATATCGCTCCCCACCATCGTTATTCGAAGGAGATGCTGTTGAGAAGGAAGGCAGCAGACATTCTGATACGAGAGACGAGAGACGGACTCCGAGGATATTCCATAGGACAAGACCAAGCGAACTCACAACAAGAGAAAGGGATCGAAGGAGAGCTGTCACAGGAGATTGTAGGTTGAACTCGTCAAATCTCTCCATGCCCGCCACCGACTCGAATTCCCGCCCCTCCTCTGCCTTTTTTGTGGAGTCGAAGCCCAATTTGCCATATCCGTCATTTTCCAAAGCGCATAGCAAGGAAGCGGTGGGGTTTCTGGGGAGCAGGGAAAACATCGGGCAACCCAAAGTGGATATCTTGACGCCTGAACCAACTGATCTAACTACGGGAGAAGAAACAAATGGCAAGACAAGAGGAGAAGATATCAATCCTACCGAGCAGGAGAAGGCATCCAGACGGCATAGCGCTCACCGCTCCCCTCCAAGCCCCCCGTTAACGAACCTTGACCAACAGTCTACAAGGAGAGAGAGCACCGCAGGTGGGAGCAAAAAATCGGAGGAGAAACGGAGTGCAACGAAGAGTCAGGATGAAAAGAAGAAACATAGGCCCAACCCCATATCCAAGGAGTCCACCTCAAGCATGCGCCGCAAGTCAGATGAAGGTTCGAAAACGAGCAGCAGAGGGTCAGGACCAAGTACCCCTGGGAAGTTATTGTTTGAATCTCTCCAGTCTCAGCACAACAAGTCTCCAACCAGCGGAAATACATCCAAATCAAGACAACTAGGGAGGAGTGACTCAGCCAAACAGATCATCCCGCCGAAAAGCAAAGCCCTCATCTCCTGACCTATCATCAGTAACACAAGTCGAGATCGAAGTTGTACTCTCTCACTGTGGACTCAGACGCAACGTCTATCGCACTCAAATCAGCAACCTACATTTTAAGTCCGTTTGTCACCTAAGGAGGTCCATCAGAGCCCCACAGAATGCGTACACCGAGAAGATCATCCCCAACAAAGCTGAGCCCGCCGTCAGCGCCTCACTCCCCATCTACCGGATTGCCCCCGCCCCCGCCCCCGCCTCCTAATGTACCCATTACGATCCCAAAAGTGGATTATTTACTCAACAATGGTGGGCTCAAATATCATGTCCCTAGAAGTTTCTTTGGAGCTGGAGAGTCTGCAAATATGCCGCAGGATTTCTTCAAACCCGCGGCAGCTGCTTCCAAACTTTTCGAGCCGTACAATAAGTTGCTTGATGACTACGGAGTAGTGATATCGAAATGTGGATCCCTCGCCGTGGCCACAGGGTATAGATCGGTTGCAAGGAGGCTCCTGGACAGGTTAGAAGCCGTCTTTGCGCGGGATATTTCGTCTGAATCGTGCCAATGTATAATGTGTTCCCCTACCGAGGTTGCGCCAGAGGGAGTCAGCTGGGGCGAGGTGTTAGAACTTGTTTCTGGTCGACAGGATCTACCGCCGTGGCCTCCATTTAAAATCGCTGCCAAACCGGGGGCTGCAGATATTACGGATTCAAACAGCGACGAACCGATGCAGAAGATGGATATGGACATTCCCGAAGAGTTTAGGGAACATTTCGTTCGCCAGTCCAGGAAAACGAAGCACGCTGTGGATAAATGGCTTTCTTACAGCAACGACCAAGGCAGCAGCCCGCCTAATGAGATTGATGACGAGACACTGATGTTTGCCATGCTAACTTATCTAGACCAGGAGGAGAGAGAACTCTTCAGTGCGCTATTAGACATTGCAATGACGCCCCCAGAGCCAAAGCGTGAAACTCCCAAACCACGAGATCGACCGGATGCCATCGTTCAGTCCGGCGCTGCAATCCAGCGTTTATACAGACTATCCATACCACCTCGTGACCCTGAAACAGCGCTCTATTTGCTGAAGAACCCGGGCATACACCATGTCCTAGCCACACTCGCAGCCATCAGCAGCGATGAATGGGACATTCTCATCTCCGGACGTTTCGATGGATTTCTCCGTAGTGGGGCAGACGATGACCTTCCCCAAACGTTCTCCGCCGCATCCGTCCGTGCCCCTCGGCCTGGATCCACTCGACCGGTTTCGCAAGCTTCTAACGCCAGGCTCCGAAACATCAGCCAGCCGTATTGTGGTCCTTCATATCCATCCCGCACCTCCACTCCAGCCCCTGCCTCATTTGGCGCCCCCATCTACGTCGACGAAGACACCGAAATCGCCGCCCTTGCTGAAATTGAACGGGACATCTACCTCGGCATGGAAGCGCTGGAAGACGCCTTTGAAGTCCTGCATGTCAAAGCGGAAGCGATCCGTGGCGCCCTTCGGGAACGCGGTGCGGGGTTGCAAGTTGCCAATCTAACACGGCGCGGGGGATCCGGAGGTGTTGAAGTGCTCTCGGGCACGCCTGCGGCGGGCATCGGGGGCTACGGCCTGAATGGCAACGGCGGCTGGGAGAGCTCAACGGATGACGGGATTGAAGATGGGGTTTCAGAGATATTGCCCTCCGATTCCGCGAGTAATATTAGCTCGAGTAGGAGGCGGCGGCCGAAGAGACGGAGCGAGAGGCGGACGCCGGTTGTTTTTGAGGAGGAGGAGGAGGGTGAAGATAATGATATTGTTGCGACCCATGATTACAGGACGAGGAAGAAGTATTAGGCTGCGGAGAGCTTTTGGGGGACGAGTGCTTGGGGTGAATCTGGGACGGTGCCACAGATTGTTGTGTCAATGAGTGTGGTAAAAAAAAAAAAAATATCCTGGATCTTTTCCCTCATTCCCATTTGTCCTTGCTTTTGCTTCCTCGTTTTCTTTCAGCCCTCTCTCTCACTCACTTTTTTTTTTTTTTTTTTGTGGCACATCTACTGTTAGTTGATTTTTACGTACCCTGCACGTCTTCCACTTGCTATGCATCGTTTTTCGAAAGGAAGTAAAGGGAATTCAAAACGACACTTATGACATTACATGGCTTGATACCAGATACCTGATACCTGAAAACGAACCAGTATGAAATGAGAAGCATGATGATGGAACAAAAGCATCAGCAGGCAGAAAAATGTTGATACTGTGTATCATTTCCTCCGTTTTTGTTTTTTCTTTTATCTCTTTTATTGGTATTCATTCCGCCTTTCCCCAGAGCTTTTTGCTCCCGCGTTCTCTCTCTCTCTCTAGCATGAGGTTTGTTTTCATAATTTGGGCATATACTATTTCCACTTGTTATCCATCTTCTCCCTCCGTGATGTATTCTTACCTCTCTTCCCCATACCATAAGATATACCACCAAACAGCATTGTCCATCTGAATGCCATTTCATCTCCTTGCACCCCTTAGAACTCGCATTTGGAAAAAATACATAAATAAGTAAAGTCCCTCCCACGAAAATCACGTCTTTCCTCTATCGCTGTCCATCACTCATGCATTGCCATTCCGTTCATTATATATCTAACTTTATATTATATACTAGTATATATATTGTTTTCACGTTCCCCTCTATCTCTTTTTCCTTTTTTTGCTTTTCCTCCTTTTGCTACCCGCCATTTGAAACGGCGCTGTTTGTTGAGTGTATTTCCACGTTGTTGCCATCTGGGCTATCATATCCGCCTCTCTTCCCCTATTTCAGTTGATAAGGAGCGTATATTAACGCGTTGAGCGCACTGGTAGTACTGCCACATATATGGATGCATGCATTATTACTAGTACCTACTGGAGTTAGGTTGTATAAGTTCTGAGGAGTCGGTTTGCATATGTATATATATATATATCTTCATCACTTGGTGGAAGCGAAGGAACGCAATTTCTACCATAAAACAAAACAAGCAAAAAATAAGTAAGAGTGGAAGCTTGTCAAAATAGTAATTTGGATGTTTAAGACTTCCTCAAAATCAAAACTTCCCACTTGTTCCTTGAGAACGAGATCTATGTTTTGTTGACTAAATAACTAAATAACGATGATCTAATCACGATGCCGTCGCCCAACCGTCACTAATACAGTCCTCCTCTCCTCTCTTCCCAACCATCCCTTTCCTCTCCCCAAGCAAGCTCGCAGGCTTCGAAGTTGATTGCACTACTCCAATCCTCATATGGCCATTCAAGGGGGGGGGTTCCCAGATTGCGTGTGCAGGCTCTGTGGTTAGCACGGGCTCGGTCGACATCCCCAACTCCTGAGAAGCATCAGCCAGCCGGCGGTTGGCGGTCGGGCGGTAGTTAGTGGTTTCTGCATGGACGGCGGGTCTGCGGGTCTGGGGCACTGGGCCGACTGGGCGTATTGGCAGCCACCTTTGTGGCCTATCTACTCCGTACACGGCGGCGACGATGAGGACGACGAAGGCCCCGACGACGACGAACTAGCTAACTGCCAAACCAACTAAGTCAACTGCTGGCTAGTCGAGCACGGCGGATTCACTACGTCCTGCTGGTTCCTGGCCGTTGCCTGTTAGTGAGTTCGTCAGTTCTCATCGGTTGCTGCTGAGTTGGCTGCTTTTTTTCTTCTTCTTTGGCCTTCACATCGCTTGCATCTTCGTTTTTTCCCCTCCACACACCCAGCTTCAACAACAACCACCACCACCAAGAAGAAGACCCGCCAGGATCACCACTACTCTACACACGCACACATACACCACGAACACGCTCTTCATAGATAGAAACTCTCGGTCACCCCCTTCATTTTCCCGGTCATTACATCTACCCCCTGTCCTGCTGCCCCTCCACTGGCCCCCGGGAGGTCCATGTTTATGTAGCTCACTGCAGCTGTATTATGCCTCTGAGGGGTTGCGACGTGCACGGCTGCTCCAAGTCGGCTGCCCGCAAACATGGCGGCTGTCTGATCTGCTCCAGGAACCATTGCGGCGCCCACATCAAGTCAGCTTCTCACAGATGTCATTCGGAGGCAAGAGACCAGCCTACACCCAGTCCTGTTTGCTTTTTTGTGTTTGCGTTTGATTCTCCCTTTCATTTTTTTTTTTTTTTTTTTTTTTTTTCTTTTTTGTTGTTGTCGTTGTTGTTTTTTGCGCTGCTTTGGATATTATTAATTACCTTCTTTGCCGAACGGGAGCTTATCCCCGCTAACTTTGACTTTCGTTGGTAACTAAAAGGATACCGATCCAGATGCATACCGCGAGGCCTATCTCTCGTCCCAGCGTGGCCACCTGTTCAAGGTCCTGGACCAGCTCGATGTCTGCACCCTGACTTCGTTAGCGAGTAATCTTCGTCGTGGCGTCCCTTGCTCGATCCCCGCTCTCACGGCCGACAGAGACACCCAGTGGCGACGCATCTCGAAGCATATGACCAAAACCGATTTCCACGTGGATATAAATTTCCAGGATGGCGTGGTGTGGGATGCACGGATACGGCTGAGAAATGACGCTTTCCCGCCCCTGTCGGTGCAGAAATATGTCTTTCTGAGCGAGGTGTTCACGCTCAAATTCCTCGAGAAAACTGCCGTGCCTGCCCCCGGGGTATACTACCACTACTGGGCTGACTCTGCGGATGGCCAAGTCGGCGTATCATTCGTCTTTCTGGAGAAGATGGGCGGTCGGAAACTGCAGTGGGACAAAGCTAGCAAATCGAGGCAGACGAAGATCATGGAGCAGCTGGTGGATATCTCACTCGAGCTGGAGCGCCATTCGTTCGAGATGACCGGGTCAATCGTCCCATCGGACGATGGAGAAGTCAGTGTAGGCGGATATGCACAACTTCCCCTGTTCCGCGACTCTCGGACTCCAATTGGGCCGTTCTCAAGCCTTAACGCCTCCCTCAGAGCCATCATGCACCTACAGCTAGACATCATCACCGACGGCGAGTTCGCACATCTCTCCCTCTGCCACTTCCTGTCCTACCTCTGGCGCCTGCACACGATCTCGGACCTGGTCGCCTCGACAGAGAGCCGTGAAGGCGGGCCCTTCTACCTCAAGCACTTCTGTGAAACGGACGACCACATCATGGTCGATGACGACGGCAACATCACCGCCATCATCGACTGGTCTTCCTCGTCAATCAAGTCAAAGGAATACGCCTTCAGCTCCCCGGCCATGCTGTGGCCCACCCGCAGCTTCGTCGGCGGCGACAACGCCCTCTCCCCCGCCGAACTGGATTTTGCAGATATATACCGCCGCCGCGGCAGGCCTGATATGGCAGATATCGTGCTGAAGGGCCGCAAGCTACAGCGGTTTCTGTACTCGTTGGGCGACAGCTGGACAGCCGACCAGTGGGGGTTTGAGGCGTTGTTTTTGGGCCTGCGGAAGGCCTTTATTCGGGAGGGCGATGAGAATTCGGCCGCCGTTGCGCAGGAGTCGTTTGAGTTCTGGAAGAAGAAGCTTATTTCGAAGTACTCGGTTGAGTACCCGCAGTTACAGCGGCTTTTTTGAAGGGAGGCGGCAACGGGAGCGGGAACGGAGGACGGGGCTCTCCCTCGTTGTTGAATGATAGGTGTTTCCCAGCTGCTTTTCTTTAGCAACACCTATATTCCGCCTGCTACCTCCCTTCTCTTCCTGTTTCCTCCCTGTCCTGTCGATCGACTTCTCGGTCGTAGTCGTATTGAATGACGACCATCTACTCATATTTTATTCCGCTTCCTCCCCGACTTTTATTTTTATTTTGTTTTATTTTCATTTTTATATTTCCCCCCCTTCCCGCTCCTTTCTTGGCGGAAATGCGATGTTACTTCCTTAACGACAGGTTACGTTTTCTCTACGGTTTTATGAGCTGAAATGAATTTTGTGTCGAAGTCCCCTTTTATACATATGAGAGACAGAGAGGGGGAGAGAGAGGAGAGCGTAGTGTGTGTGTGTGTGTGTGTGTGTGTGTGTGTGTGTCCTTGTGCTGGCATGTGGAATGTGAAGAGGATGAATCCTACCCTTCTCCTTCCGGATTTATATGTGTTAACATTGATCTTATAGGATCCTAAGATCCTGGCAGATGCATCCAGCCCTTCTGTTGTTGCCTATGCAAGGAATGATATATGCCCTCCTCCTTTTCTCGTTTTTTCTTTTCTTTTCGTTTTTCTTTTCTTGTCTTTTCCTCGTTTCAGCGGTATCTGTGTGGTGATCTTAAAAATGGTTTTTTTCTTTCTTTTCTTTCTTTTTTTTCTTTTCTTTTCTTTTTTTTTTTTTCCATCCTCCAGTTCCAGTTTCTGGTTTGCATTTATTCGCATTTATTCTATTATTCCATTTTATTTTCCAGTCGAAGAGAGCGCAAGGCAAAGAAAAAGAAGCATGCGAGCGGTCAGAATATTATTATTTTTATTATTATTTTTATTTTATTTTATTTTATTTTTTAATTTTTTTTTTTTTTTTTTTTTTTTTTAACTTTTTCCTTTTCTTTTATTTATATGATAGCTAACTAATTTAGATGTTTAATGCTTAACTAGTTAATTAATGTCTAGTATTCCCTTTCTTTTCCCTTCCCTCTTTTTCTCCTCCGTATCCATCCTACGGTGGAAGAAAGAAGAGGTTTTCCCAACGCATTTGCGAGAGAACACACTGTGTACATATCGCAGCTACTACTTCTCCCGTGCAGTGGGTCCGAATTCTGAACGCCTTCGGTCTTGTATCTCGCGTGATTCAGCAGCCTTAGGTGGGTAGAAATGTGGCGGCAGCCGGTTCTGATGAGAGAGATATATATATATATTTATATATATGCCTTTTCCGCTCATTTGCGCACACCGATGATACATCCTTCACATCGAGCCGCACACACTGGCCGTCGCGACGTGGCTTTCGGCCAGATTTTGTGTCCAAGAGTCCGGTTCGGTTGTCTTTAAGATCAATCATGCTCGAGAAATTAGGAGAAGTGTGTATTCATTCACTTGTCGTTGGTTGCGGAGGTCTCACAATAATGGCCGACATACATGTTGTGCATGTGCGTTGTTTGTTCCGATAGACACACTCAGAATGGGCAAATCCAGCTGTTTAACGACCGGCGCCATGCCCGGACATCGCTGACACTTGCAGTGTCCTGGAGAACTCTCCGAGTTGGGTGGGAGCGCAGCCAGGTAGAGAGGGAGAAAGCTCCAATTTTGTGCGATAGACTTTGTCACGAGAAACTAACACCAGTGACTGGAGAAGACTGGAGGTCAAGTCGTTGTCGACGCTGTATTCTATGCTGATTTCTGCCCGATGTCCAAAGTCCAGACAGTTCTGGCGCTTGGTGAAGCTTTCAAAGTGAGGAGGTCGTTAGCAAGGCGACTGTGGGCGGCGCCATGACAGGATTTCTTTACGATGGGCCCTTTAGCAGTCAACTATCCGGCAGAGGTCGATGTTACAGAGGCCAAATCTAGACATATAGCCCCGGCGCC